ACTGTCTTTTAGATGAGTTATTGAATACAATGGCTGCTGGGAGACTGGAGATTATAAATGATGCAGAGAGTGAAAATGAGAAAAGTGGTGACAAAAATGTAAGTATTTACCGTCCATATCCATTGATCAAAGCACATCTCTTATTGTATTTTTATTTTGTTTTGTCAAATACACTTCAAAATCTACATCTTTAATTCTTGAATTTTCTCATCAACAAAAAACAGTTTATTTTCCCTGTCCCAATATTTTGTCCTCACTCATGTCCTGACATTTCTTATCGTCATTTTATAAGTCATTAAACTAATATTGCTATACTACATTTTATTGTGGCTGTTGTTGTTGTGTTTAGTGGTGATTGATAGTTATATATTTTGTGGCTATTTTAATTGTTTTGTTTATGATTGTTATAGTCTTTGTTGTTGTTGTTGTAGTTATTGGTGTTGGAGTAGCTGTTAATATTGTGATTATTGTTGTTGATGTCTATATTATGGTAGTTATTTTTGTTATTGTGTGTGGTGTTTAGTTTTTGGTTGTTGTTCTTGTAGATAATGTTCAATGATCTTAGTTGTAACAGAGCCAATGAACTTAATCTGTAAAAGTTAAATAGTACAGAAAAGTACTAACTTACACTAATTCTTTTGTTTCTCTAATATACACTATTTAGTAGTAATTAGTACTATTTGTTTCATGGATTAATTACATTGACCACTCTACCATTACAGGGTAATAATGTTTGTCGATGTTGTTATTGWCTATTATATTTTTGTAGTCTACATTATAAATCATTGTTGTTGTTGTGATAAGTTGTAAATTTGTAATGGTTAATGTTGTCATGAATTACCCTAATCTAAGAATCAATTGACTTTTCTTGTTTTCAGGAATCCAGTAAAGAAAGTCCTCCACCTGCTAGAGTGTATGATCCATTTGATCCTGTTGAATTCTATGCAGAGGACAATGAATTTAAATACAAGAGTGAGAAATAGTTCCTTTAATTATTATCAGTATTGCTAGGTGCTTGGAAAACTAGTGCTGTCCTTTTTACCATTCTTGGTAAAACAGCCTGATGAATTCTTCATTATTCACAGCCCCGCCAAGATGAATAGTTTTTTTGCAACTTGTCAATGCCTTAATAGGGAATAGTTTCAGAATTCAGCATGGAGTTATTGGAAAGTATTTTAATGATTCACAAYGGCAGAGTTATGATAAGGACATCTGATTGTGAGCYACAAAGAAACAAGAAKTTTTATCCTAGATYAMCATCYCAAWKTTGARAATYTGATCGCTGTGTTTACTAAGTAATGCTGTTGCATTGATCAGGCCATATATCTTGTTACTACCCTGTAATGGATGTAACCAAATAGACTTACAAACCTATTTAGAAGTACTCATTCTGATTGGGTACTGTTGATCTAAYTGACAGTTCTCTAGTGTAACGAAACAAGGTTGCAAGTGAGCAATGGTTTAAAAGGGTTTCYCAGAAGTGGGAKGAACACTTTATACCCTKGAAGGTTGTTGTTGAGCATAMAGAATGGTAAAAAGGGGAATTTACATGTTTAGGTTACATGACTGTTCCTTGTATAATATGAAACTAAATTGAATTGTTTTGATGAGCCTGCATTACATCCTGTTCAGAGGCTAATGTAGCAYATGCTAGGTTTTCATAGACTAAAACTCTTGTAAGTATCGTATTTATCACGTTATCAGCTATATAGAAAGCAAGCATGCTATGCATTCTTGATGAATTATATGAAAGCGCACTCAAGCGCACGCTTCAAATCCGGAAAAAAAAAATCCAAAACACAATGCACTGGATAGCTTGCAAAGCTCACTYCATTACAAACTGAAAATTGCAAGCAGTGAAATCCGAGAAAAAATATAACACGCAGTTCTTACTTATTCTTATGAATAATGATACCACTAAAACTTTAGTATCAATTCAGAAAATACCTTTTCATTGGTAGAATCGTAAACACCAAAGTTTAGGTATGTTTTAGGTACTTGCGAGTTTTTAATCATTTTCAAATCAAGTAAAGTTATTATGTGGGGAAGTTGTCACTCTAGATTTATCATTGTGTACAATTATCTTTAAAAATCAAATAAAATATGTTCATGTCAATAGATGAGTTTTTCAGGTGATTAAAATCGTTTTAAAAGCACGTTTTGTCGAGCTATCAGTCGAGATTTAAGGGTGTGTGTTGTGTATGAGTTATTGTGAAATAATATCATTTTCTTGCCGGTGATAAAGTGCAGTTATTGGAAACAKTTTCTGATAAGAATTGACAGTGATGACCGAACGTTTCTCTGGGTATTCAATTAATGCCAGGGGCGGCTCGAGAACATATCAAGGGCATTGTTATTTTATCATTTGATAGCGAGTAATCAGGAGGGGTCATTATAYTCATAACGTGCAATATTTGTTCTCAATAACGCGGTTTTTGGCGTCAGGTGCACCAGGAGACACCCCCTGGATCCGCCCGTCTTGTTTGTCGTCTGCTAAAAAAAAATTAACCAAGTTAACGGCGGCATCGAAGATCATTTTGGAATTAGAACGACAGTCGAAACTGCTTTTAGTGATGGTTGGATATTGTCATCKAGTAAACCCTAACCATCGCTGCATTTCCCAACCACCTACCATTCGACGCCTTTTTAAAAAGCTAAAACAAAATACAAAATCCGTTGAATTTTCTTTCTTTCTCTTTTTTAAGCTACTTCCATTCGTCCTCTTTCCCCCGTGGACTTKGTTTTTATAACCTCCTTTTTGTTCTCTTTCCATTCTTCCATTTTGTTTTCTTTTCCATTTGGAAACGGAAGTCTATATTTTCATATTATTTTTGTGCATTTTCAATTTGTATGGAAATAAAACATCATGTACTTTGATGAGCGGCAGAATTGCCAGTCTTTCTCTAATTTTATTGCTTCAAAGGTTCAAGATTATACAAAGATCATATCCATTYATAAACCAACACGAAACAATATACTATCCCTTAAATATATTGTAACAGTCTCCTTCGTTTCCTGCACACAATGGTTCAATCATGTATGATAGTAATGAATTTTTAATCATTTTCTAAACAATGCGTGGAGTTTTTGTCCGGTGTTCTGTATATGTCAATTAAGGACCGATTATGGTGTTAAAATTAATATCTCTGGCAATGAACTTTGTCGGAAATGAACTCGATATGAACGTCATTACAAGTTGTGGTTATTGSAAATTATAAACGATTGCTGATCCGGCTAAGTTGATAGAACGATTTGAGCAGGTCAAGATAGCGGTGCAGCACATATTAAAACCYGAGTAAGTAAAACCCTTTGGGTATTTGATAAAATGTATATACGACAAAAACGATCAAAAAATCCCCACGGTATGAGCGGTTCATTTCTTGATTTCGACGATTTTTTGACATGTGTCAACAAATTTTGCGGAACTTTGACTCAATACCAATATCTCAAGTGTGTAATTATCGTTTAATTCTCGTTTAATTTAATTTTATTGAAGATTTCGTCATATAAAAAGGTTTGATTACGTATTTTATGCTTATAAATAGAGTGGCAGATTTGATTTGACTTAGGTGCGGCGAAATCTGCTTCTGAACTACGKCAGAAACCAGGATTGAACCTACGCATGCAAAAGCACTAAGCTACTTTTGTTCAAATTGTCTTCAAGAAGGGGATTTTCTTTGCTCATTTCGTAGGTATAGCGTTAATAAGAATTTTGCTTGTCTGATTTTGTGGTATCTGTAATACTGTAATGTTTTGCCCAATGTTGAAACGCTTACTGCAAGTTCAGCTGGTTAATTTCAAAGTACAATTTCTATCGGCTTCTAGGCTTCAAACTTTTAAAATCATAAAATATTTCGAAAAAAGTGTACAATTTCCTAGTCTTGCTATAGCTCAAACTGACTATGCACATTTAACAAAACTCTTGACTATCGAGTATCGTTTTTTCCTTGCATAGGAACGGTGACTATAGGTAGTTGATGGCTACCCGGGGAACATTTGAAGAGAATTGTGCAACTTTATTCGAAATCCGTTCTAGAAAATTTGAAAATACTGCTTTCTCTTTAAATAAACTTAACTCTCCAAGTATAATTTTCCATTAAAATTCCGCAGTAAAATAAATCGAAAAAGATGCAAATCATTTCACTACAATAGCAAGAGGAAATTGACTTGGAAATAATGATATTTAARATATGATGCTGTTCTTCACGGTCGGAATCAGATCTTGTATTTGGAACGAACGAAAGACGATTACTAATGGAATCTAAGGATGGAAGTTGGGGCTGCCGTTTATACTTGAGAATTAAGTAAAATTTGAAGTTTGTAACAATTAACTTGCCACTTAAAGCAAGTATTTYAAGCTGTATTTCAAAGTAACAGTGGCAATTTTCGAATATCGTTAAAGTTAACTAAGTATTTTGATAAATCTTTTAACATGTCTCCTAGCCATAGTGAGGAGTTCAGTATATCTATTCTTGTTTTTYTTTTTCAGCGCAAAACAATTTCGAGTGTATTGCTCCCTTAAATGCGTTGGCGCAAAAATGGTTCTCAATTCAAATTCAAGTAGTCATTGATCTTTTTAAAAACGATTTCTTGAGTAGTAGCACGGGCAGGTTTGCAAAGTTTCAGTCAGTACAAAAACCCAAAATTGATTTGTAGAAAATCCCAAAATTGCTTTGCGTGCACGTAAAAAAAKCTTTGTTTATTATCCACAGGCTTACCAACACTTATATCTTATTTATTTTATCTGTTCTGTTGTTGTTATTGTTCTTGTTTCCGTGAAAAAGTGCATTTCGTAGCACTTAAGGTTCAAAACTTTGCATGTCAGCACCATAATTACTGCTTTGTATTTCCTTCACTCCGACCAACGCTGATCAATTCACTACATTTGTTTACTGCAAACAATCCTAAATAAAACTATTGATAAACCGTGTATTTACCAGCTTGCCATAAGGAAGAAACCCTGTGGAAATTATCTCTAAATAGCACTGTTTTTGGTGCGGTACMCATTCATAATCTTCCAAGTATCCTTAGGCCTTTYTTGTGTCCAATTTCGCTTCAAAYCGTCGGATGTTTTAAAGTTCAAAACGTCGTTCAAAACAGAGCTATTTGTCAGTTTATGAATTGCATTCAATACTATTCTTGTTATAAAACAATTGCTTGACGTAATAAGTTTTAAAATTTTAAACTGTTTAGTTTTATTTTTTTATCAAAGTCATTAAGAGTTCAACAACAGCTTTTTTACAGTGCAGTAGCTTCTCGGGCTGCTTGCCTTTTGGGATTAACACTCTCCTGCAGGGCTTTCCTGCGTGACTAAATTATCATGCAGAGTGCAAAGTAGCTACTTTTAACAATTGTCAAATGTTTAACGTAAGTACAGCGCAGCGGAAGACCWACGCTGGACGATTAATGCAAAACGTATTTTTTCATCAGAGTGACTAAAGAAACTGAATTAGGCTGAAAATATGTTCTTCAATCCGATAAAAAAATACGTTTTGCATTAATATTATCTCAGCCGTTGATTTAAGGGAAATGCATTCTTGAATTGATCTTTATGTCTCCAAGGTGATAATTGATAGAGATAGCAAACTCCGTTAGAAATATTTTTTGGGTTGTGAGCAAATTCTTTATACAACATAAATTAAGATCAAAATCTTATCTTAACTAATATTTATAGGCATTAATTAATGTTAAAAAAAATTAAAGCACCGGTCTCTTTCTACTTAAAAAGCAAACTGTTTATAAAATATTGTGTTATTTGAAATCATTTCACAATGACTTTTTGATGTAGCCACTGTAGGGGTCTTGCCGTRGTTGTTGAGTTTCTTTTTAAAACAATTTCGATGTGGTTTTGCATTAAAAATAAAAAAGGCGATAAAATTGTAATTGCTCAGCGTTGGTGATAAGTCAGTGTGCTTGTAGCCGCAGGCCAYACGTAAACACTTTTAGAAGATCAACTTTTGCTATGAAAATCGACGATTTACCCAGAGTAGCCCGCCTGGGTTTCTTGATTTAGTGATAAAACGTTTTTAAAAACAGCTCAATGAGGAGTACTTTTTAGGGTATTTTTTTGTAATCGTTTTTCAGTTGCTGAAATACCAGAAACAAAAACGTCAAGCTTGTCAATTAGTTAAACATCGTTGCTATTCAAAGTCTTCACTCGATTTATTTAGCGGGCAAATCGAGCGTTGATTGGCTAAAGTTATCGTAAACAAGATGGCGGCCGCCGAAAGWGTTGCGACAAGTTAAATGTCTATGAACTATGAACAACGAGCAACAAGCAGCAAATTTTTCATAGAATAAGATCCTTGTTTTGATATAAAAAAAATACAGAAAATTCAACTGCGTGTACATGAATAACGGTTCTAAAATACTCTTTCTTCAGGGTACTATTTTYCTCATCAAGCGTAAAATTTTCTTACTTAAAAACGCGATTTTTAAATGGACGTGACACATTAATTAAGCACTGACACCAATGAAGTCATACCCGGACTGTCGAATAAGACGCAAATCATATTGATATATAAACAAAGTGAGACAATCATGAAACGGATGAGAGGTATTTTACCGTTGTTTTTGAATCATACTATTATTGAGTAATTACGAAAACAGTCTTCTTGTCTAGATCACATCGTCAACTAACTATGCTTACTATGTTTGTATCTTTGTTTCTATGTTTTTAAATTTGTAGCAAGTGAAGGCAAACTAATATTTTTCCCGTGATGTTAGATACTGTGCGATGCGGAGGGTCGATTAATTATATTTCCGCGGGTCCAAGCCGAAATCCCCACATGTATCGCATCACATGGGCTGTGACGTGCAGCGACGCCATGCACAGCGCACCGATTATGAATGGAGTACTCGCACTGTTTTATGTTTCACGTGTTTTATTTAATAATCCGCAAATACAGTAGTTATGACGTTTTATAAAGAAAACAAAAAACGGATATTAGGGATTATTTTAGCGAGCAGCCAAAAGAGAGAAGACTGCATTTCCTAGCATGCGTTGTTGTGTGAAATGGTTTTGCTGCAGTATCCGTTTATTGACTGCTTCTTGAAACTGCACTGTTTTTGTTGATTGCTTTGCTATTAGTACCAACTTACAATTATAGCAAATTTGTCGCGCGACGTGAGATGCAATTTTTGCGGCGATTTTATCGCACGCGTGTAAACAGTCTTCAAATTCACTGGGTTATATTAATTATCCCCTAGACTTTTAAAGAACAAGAGATACTTGGGTAGCACTGCCATCGCGGTTCGTGGTGCTGCAGTGCTCGCTATGACTGTTGGGTCACTAGGGACCGCGGTGTCAGTGGATTTTATGATTTAAGAGTATTTATGAATGAGGTTACTTAATTGTATGATTTAAGAGTATTTATGAATGAGGTTACTACTTAAAATTGGCTCCCTATGTTTGTCCCAGAAATCATTGCAGGCACTACGTGACTGCGGACCGCGGTGGCAGTGAATTTGAGAAATATGAGAGGATAACATAAAATGGGTTTCTGTTTGGGCCAGAAATCATTGCAGGCACTACGTCACCGCGGGCCACGGTGGCAGTGAATTTGATAAATGTGAGAGGATATAACTTAAAATGGGTTTATGTTTGGGCCAGAAATCATTGCAGGCACTACGTGACCGCAGACCGCGGTGGCAGTGAATTTTGATAACTATATAGTGACAGGGTATTCTAAAGCTTAGCCTTCTGTTAAAAAGCATTATTTTCCCATGGCTCATAATTTCGTAATGATCCTTTTAATGATCCTTTTAAAAATTTAGATGTTCTCTTGAGGACAATAATAACATTTCGCTAATTTGGCCCTCTAAATAGCTTTTTTAAAATATCACGTGATCAGTGAAAACCAAAACAAATCTAGATGGGCAGACATTCTGCGTATCGGTATAATTTTACGCTATTCGACTGATTTAAAAATTCGTAATTACATAAGGGATTCGTCCACACGAATAAAGGCACGCTGTTGTATATTCCGGGGGGGACTCCCTTATAAACGTTGGTAGRTATGCTCGACGGACCTTTTRKGGTCGAAAATAAAACCCTCGCGTACCTTTTAGGGCCAATTTTCGAAGAACGGGGGAAAAATTGAAGAAGTGTTGATGAGGAAATAGATTTTATTAACCTCAACGTCAGCAATCTATCGACATTGATTTTCTAGAGTTTGTTAGTGAGCTTTTCTCTTGTTAAAGACGTCAAAAATGTTCGTATCTTTTAGGGTCTGACTCCTGAATTAATTTATGCGTACCTTTTAGGGTCATTTTTCAATCCGTCCGTCGAGCATA